GATTAAAATGTAGGATTCAGAAAGAAAAAAACAATAGTAATAGAAATAGATCAGGCAGCAAATGGGTAGTGAGATTTCTTCCCGTATTGCAAAGGATTTTCTGCAGCCACAACTTCATAAGTTTAGAGATTCATCAGTTTAACCATGAATAAAAAAGGGACCAACTGTGCAGGAGGCAAGTAATTTTGAGGTAAAAGGAAGAGTTGCAAAGTCTCCCAGCTGCACAGAGCAGCACACAGCACATCATCACCTGTGGTCATCAGGCAGTTAAATTTCAGGATCCCACATGGTAAATTTGACATCACACGGTGCTATTAACAGCTGAGGCACGAGGAGCATTCCCAAAAAACTAGAGAGCGCTCAATGAGACACACCATACGCGTAAGACAGAATGAGTTGTGCTGTTACACCACATGGTAAATTTGACATCACACAGTGCTATTAACAGCTGAGGCATGAGGAGCATTGCTGAAAAACTAGAGAGCGCTCAGTGAGACACACCGTAAGCATAAGACAGAATGAGTTGTTCTGTTAAATGTGTTGATCTTCCCAGGGGTGTAGGAAATGTGTTACTTTACGGTGTTATTAAGAAATACTGAGCCCATGGGGTAAACTCTCCTTTTCCATTTTTCTCTCTTCCCAACAGCATTCAGTAAAAGCTCCTGTCTTCTGCCATCGGTGCCCCTAACCAAGGGCATATCCCACCCATGGGGTAAACTCTCCTTTTCCTTTTTCTCTCTTCCCAACAGCATTCGGTAAAAGCTCCCATCTTCTGCCATCGGTGTCCCTAACCAAGGGCGTATCCTACCCGCAAGGAAAACTCTCTTCTCCTGCACCCCAGCAGCCCAACGGCCTTAAACTTCCCTGGGAAAGGAGCAGGACATCAGGGCAGCATCTCCTCCAGCACTTGGCCCCCAGCACACGAGAGTCCCGCTCCAACGGACACAAAGTAAACCCAAGGTCTGTACTTGCTGCAGCTAAAGAGGGGCATGAAAGCCATGAGGAGTGATGAGATTGTTCCTCACTGTCAGAAGCCAAGAAAATCAAAACAGTCCCAGAAGAGTTTCATTAGTCCACTTTTTATTGAAATTAAAGGATGGGGAACTACAACGTGATTTTCTTTTGTACTATAAATATGTCAGTGAAGAATGTTTCTTGAGTTGTTCGTCACACTGGACACGAAAGCTGTCAAGAGAATTACTCTGCAGAGTCCTTGGTCCTTCACACTCATGCAAAAAGTCTTTAATTTAAAAAAATGAGCTTAAACAGTCATCCGACTCCTTACACCATACTGTCAGCTACTGAACCAACAAAGTCTGTTTTACAAAACCAAAGAATTTCACGCCCAGGTAAATAATTTCACAATCATCCATTACCCTTAAGGTGTGGGTGTTTTTAATACGTAAAATATACAAATTAAAATTCTCAATATTTATTATCACTATAGAGGAAAATAATTTATAAACCCATGAACAAAGATAAGGGCATGGGGGAAAAAAAAAAAGGTGAATTAACATCATTCCCAGACTACACTGTCTAACTCCCTCCGAAACACTGTGGCTCTGAGCAGCAAACTCCGCTCACATGAACATGATCGGTGGGCACGACGTTAAATCAAGGGGGAACAGCTCTGACACCACGTTTTATTAGTAACCAACCCCAAGGTTAAAAACGAGCTGCATTTAGCTGTTGAACCATCCTGTTAGCTTGATGAACAGGCACCACACATGGCTGGATATTAAGGATTTGGGTCTCCACTGCAAACAAGAGAACAGTATTCAGCTTTCATGGTGGTGTCATGCAAATGCTGCCAAGTGTATTTATGTTAATTACAGCGCTGTACACATCTGTACAAAAAACTTATTTGGACCAACTGAATGAACTGAAAATTGGTTTTAATCACCCCCAATTTATCTATTAGGCACAAATGGAAAAGATGGACTCGATCCAAACTTGTTCAAGCAGCAGCCCGCTGGCGGCAGACCTACCCTGCTGCACACAGGCTCGCCGGCTTGGCAAACCCAGCGGGCACCCCCACGCGATGCTGCTGGCTTCGGTGGGTGCGCATCCCCGGGGAGGGTTACCCACCAGAGCAAAGTCACCTTTGAGAAAGCCACGGCCAGAATCCCGCAGCGGGTCAGCGCACTGTGACCCCAAAAAAGAGCCAACAGCAGAAGGGGGCTGAGGAAGGCCCCTCGTATTCACAACGGGCCATTGCGAGGAAGCGGCCTGAGTTCGGTTTGTAAAGCTTTTACAAAACCTGCAATGATTTCACTGGTTGTGGCAGCCTGGGAGGGGTTGTACGGGGGCTGGTGTGTGCATGGCATCCTCCATCATCTCACACAGGGACCGAGAAACGAAACAGCCGAGAGGCAGCTTGATCTCCAATCTGACTGGGAAGCAACTGCATGGCAGAAAAACATTAAATCAGAGTACTGAAACTGTTGTAAAATAACTCATAATCTAAGAGCGTAGTGGTGACTGAGGTAAAGGATTTTAATTTATCTCATAACATCAAGCCCAATGTTGTCCTTCTAACACGTTAAAATCAACATAAAAGCCACCCCAGGTCTTAGTTAAAACATTTAATTTCTTGTGCAGAAAACATACAGATTCACACCTACATCACGGCCAGCAAAAACTGCACTGGAGTGTAAGAACTGGACCCAGAATTTAACAGAAGTGTCAACTGATGACCATAAAAAGCAATCAAAAAATTCTTTAAAATTGTCTTATAAAAATATTTACAGTAAAATTTGTTAGCGCTAACGCTACGTTTTCAGTCCTAGAAAAAGGCAATCTTTAAAGGATCTGGCTCAGGTGCTCAGGGTCAACAATACAAACATGAAACCACATGCCAAAGACAGACAAATTCAAAAAGCATTTCGAGGAGGGGGGGGATAAAGCTGGTTCATCACACGTTATGGTTGTTCATATTGCATAGCTGGAAAACGAGGTCACTTGACTTGCATAACACTGCAATTTTTGAGAAGGAAAGAAAGAAACATGTCAGCTGCCGTCGGGAAGAGCTGGCAGCAGCCAGGAACAGCATCACTTGTCCCTGGCAAGGGCTGTGAGTCCTGGCACTGTCCAGCAAGCCACTGGTCTAGGTTGGCAGTGAGCAGAAATGCCATTTTACAGTAGCAGAAAATGACCAAAAACTGTTTTCCTTATAAGCAAGGAAGGCTTATAAAGAGACATGTAGTCGGGGAAAAAATTATCCAACTTTCGGCATATCCACCTTTCACAACATCTGACAAACACAGCAAACTTCAAACTTGCACCTCTCTAGCACTAACTACCAGCTTTTATCTCTACCCACAGGAAAATTTACTCTCTGGGCAATATTTGCCCTTGCTCCCATGATGTTGTGAGTGCGAGAAGATTAGTTGGGAACTGCTCCCAACTACTGAGCTGCAGCTGGGCTATGGAGCAGCTCTTTAGCTTTACCCTCCCCTATGGCTACACCAGACCTAACGAGGGCCATGTGTGCCCAAGCACTTGTCCAGTCATCCCAGCCTGAGAGATGCTAACTGACCAAAAAGCACTGCCTGTCCCATTTTATCCTCTATTCCCACAGGCTTCAAAGGGAAACACCTTTCGGTGTTTGCTTTTGGGCAGTGAATTTGAGTCAGTCCAACCCAGGGCATCATCTCACCCATGTCGCTGTGGGGACGCATTTCAGGACTCTCATCTGCAGGATACGTTCCCACCTCAACCGCTTTACACCTCGTAGGAGAGCAGCACGTTGTACGGCTGTTTTGGCACATTTCACTGCAGGCTGCGGCACCCAAAGCAAAAGGTTTAAAGGGAATTGTAGAAAAGATTCATTTTGATGTTATTATTTTCAAGACCTCTGGACTGACATACAGTGGAAGGGGAGACATCAAGGATAACAGTGCCGTTTCTTTGGACAATTTGCTTTTGTTTGTAAGAACAAGAATGTCCAGAGAGGAGGGGGCGCTCCCTAAGGCTCCCCAGGAAGATCAGGTTCCCCTGCGGGAGGTAACTCAGCAAAGGCAGGTGCTGTGAACAGACACCCAACTTACAAGGACCGTGTCAACTCCAGCACTAAAAATCCACTTATTTACAGGCTTCACCCACTCCTCTACAAAAGCTGCACCAGGTGATGAAGCCTTAGATCCCTCGGAAATAAACTGTAAAGTATTTTCCTTCTCTACTGTAGAGGACTTTCCGACAGGTCTATGGAGGAAACCACCCCACGCCAGCAGAACAGCAGCGGTGAGTGCTGAGCTCAGCAGGAGCGGGGTAGATTCTGCCCAGCTGCCACCACAAAAAGCCTCAACCGATCTACAGAGGGAAAAACAATCCAGGAGAGAAAGTATTTTCCTTCCTTACTTCTCTTTAACAGGAAAGTCATTTGGGAGTCCACTCCTGTATGCAGAAGCATTCCAGAGCTCACAAGGAGACACAAAAAGGCATTTTGAAGCCAAACGTCATCTTAAACAGAAAGCTTTAGGAATTTGGGGTATGACAGCTGCATTACAGCTGGATCTAGATTTGCCAGTTTGAATAAACTTATGAATCCTTTGTACAAATAGAGGAATGCCTCCAGCACGGGCAAGATGCAAATAGTAATGACAGCAACAGTGATTAACTAATCTTCATACTCTGGAAGCATTAAGACACTGCAGGTGTCTACCTTGCTCATTAATCACTGCCTGGGTGACAGAGGATTCTCACTGTAATGTCTCTACGTTAATGGCACCATAAGGTATTTCTTTTAACATCTAAATGCTCTGTGAGGAAATGGCACTGAGACACTGGACAGAGCTAGGACTGGGGCATTCAGCACAGCTGAAACACATGGGTCAGGAATACTTTCTATTCAAGCAGCCTTTGTTTCACAGGAGCAATAAACCCCGTGGGAGCAGCACGCATTCGGTAGGATTACGTGGTTCAGGTGCTGAGACTTCAGCCCCAGGGAAGGCACTGCCCAGCAGGTCCCATCACATACAGCAAACAGCATTCATGGCAAGTAGAAAAATCACGTGGTATTTATTTCCACCATACGAGAAGCATTTCAGGGATACACACAGTACTCCGGTGGCATGTACAAACGTATGACTGAGACAGCGTCACACAAGCCAGAGCACCCTGTTCCAGTCCGTTTCTGCTGACTGCTTTTCTGGGTTGGTACTCAGAAGTTTCCACTGCCAGTAGTAAAGTCCACCTTCCAGGCACAGTGAGTAAACAGTTCAACTGACAACGTGCACGGAGCATCAGTAGTGAAGAAATCCAGAAATGTTTGTTTTTACTCACATGCCCAAACGTAGCAGTTTTGTTTCACACAAGAAATTCAGTGCCTGCAGTCCAAGCACAGTGTTTATCTCAGGACACCAGTTGATTGCACCACAGATAACAAGCAACACCTCATGTCTAGCACGGAACATGTCCCCAGAGGGATTTTCGCTTCGCTACGCAATCCACCGCAGAGCAGATGATGTTTGTAACGTATCACTTGTCATGCTAAGACGTTAACAGCAATGAGAGGGGTCAAGTCAGAGGTCAGTCATCTTCCCAACCACCCAGCTGGATTCACTTCACTTCTGCTCCTCACATTGGCCTGATCATGTGTCACAAGGGTTTGTGAATCACAGCCACACCTGTCGTAAGAATGGACACAGTAATGGTAGGAGCAGCTTCTGAGTTGCAATGGGGCTAAGATCATGCTACAAAGCCAAAGACCAGCAACAGGCTAGCAGAGAGAGGTGTCTACTATTTCTATTAAAGTTTCCTCTACTGAAAGCCACACAAAACATAGAAAAATGTAAGATTACAGCTTCAGGAGGCACAGCCCTCCAGTTTATGAACGACCCCAGCTGTTGCCACTCTCCCACTGACTATTTACCTGCATAACTTCTCCCCGTGCTCATGCTGGTTGGTAGTAACGTCCACTTATCTGTGATGGGGTTGTAGTATTCCACTGAGGCCAAATTACAGGAACCATCATCTCCTCCCACGACATAGAGGAGACCATTCACGGCACACACACCTGAAGCAGAGCAGAGACGGTTAGACACGGGCCAGCTCATCCTCCATGACACATCACCTGCCACATTTGGATTCATCCCCAAGCAGACACCTCGCCTTCCATTTTTATCACTTTCTTACAATACTGATGACTTACATCACTCCCACATTAGTCACATTAAAAACCACACAGACAACTGCAACCAACCACCACAGGAAAGCATACTGCTGTTACCTGCATTTCTTCTACACATGTTCATGTCTGCTACTTGCTTCCAGGTGTTTGTTCCTGGATCATAGACTTCCACACTCTTCCTTACTAAGGGACCGTCGTGCCCGCCGGTAGCGTAGAGCAGCCCGCTGAGAACACCAACACCTGCCAAACAGAGCCCAGCGTTAACCAAACGTACCGGGGAAAGGGTTGCATGTCCCTCCACCTTCCACTAGCTATTCTGCCTTGGCCTCTCCAAGGCATTTCCAACATGGGCCACATGTGCCTCAAGATCACCCGGGACACCATCAACTCTCCATCCAAACACCACGTAGCACTACAGCAGACCTGCCCAGTAACGCCAGGAGATGTCCTGTGCAGCACTTGCCATGAGCAGCACTGGGCAGCCCCCTCCCTGCTGGAGGGGCATCTGGGTGACAACCAGGACTTGAGGAGCTCAGCTTTCAGGTTGGGAACAGAAAATTGCAAGGCTATTTGGCAGGCAAGAAGAGCGTTCCTAACACTGGACTTGCCGTGTGGAGATGTGCTTGCAAATCAGTGCTCACAGCAGTGTTCTGAACGAAGAAAAGGCACGAAAATCCATCTCACTACAAACTGTCATGCGTGTTTCAACACACTGTCAACAGCACGATGTTTGGCTAAGTTTAAGCATCAAGCAGATGTCAAAGACCTCTTCAACTGAATTCAAACCAACAGTATGTGGCCACATAGAAAGTTAGAAACCTTCAAGACTAGAATATAATCCTTTTTTAACACGTCCTTTCCTCTAATCCCCCAGATCACCAACTCCTGCCAGCAAAAGGTACACTAAAAAACAGCTTAGCAGGGGCAACCTGAGAAGAATTCTGTTACCTTGCCTTGGTCGGCACATCCCTCAGTGCAGATGTGCTTTGTGCTGCAAAGCACCCACTGGATGCTTGCAGAGAAGATCCGAAAGGAAAATCCATCTGACAACCCTCAGTGATAGGAGAGGAGGAGGTGCAGCTTGGCTTTCCAGTCCCCAGCTAAGCCTGCAGCTGGCAATTTGGAAAGATAACCCTTTGCTTACAAGTGAGCTGCATCTGTTTGCGAGGCTACTTAGAAACACTGAACATTATTTGATTAATCCAGAAATTAATTTCAATTTGGCAGATTTTAATGAAATCTGGAGACCTGAGGAGAGCTTCCAAGCAATTATGGTTTCTCCCCTCATGGGAAGGGGAGAGAATAACAGGTTGCACTTGCCAGCCCAACAATGCCAAAACACACTTTTCCTTCCCTTCCGTGAGCAGATGAGAACCCAGCAATCACCCGCCCTTAAGAACACATCTCTGAGCCAGTACCTGCGCCGCTGCGTCGCGTGCTCATGTCGGCTACGTAGGTCCATTCGTTCGTGGCTGGGTTATACTGCTCGACGGTACTAAGGCACTGACGGGACGCTCCATCGTAACCCCCCACGGCATAGAGCTTACCTGGAAGAGACACACATGGGCATCAGCATCATGGCTACGCCTGAGCTACCATCACACCCCAGCTGAGGACAGATCCTGGCTGAGGGAGGCCCTGGGAGACGTGCCTAAACCTGCTGGGGTGTCTGGCGAAAATCCTAGTGAAAGGATCTGAAGTCGACTCACAGACAGGCAAGACTGTCTTTACGAGATGTTAAAGCTGTGAACTCAGACAAGGAAATAACACAACACAATTTAATTAGAAGCCAAAAGCCCAGAGGGTTTTCCAAATGACTTGTTGGCCCAGGAGAAGAGGTAACATCAAAGTGTTATTGCTGACAGAGTGTTTCCTCCTGTTCAGGTGCCACAAGGCAAGGTGTGCTGTCAGGGGGCTGTCAGGATCTATACAGTAACTGCAATATCACATGAGCAATAACTATGCAATAGCCCCTTACATTAAGGTAATACCTGCATGGAAACCTTCTGAAGAACCTGGACCACATCCAAACCAACCAATGCCACCAGCACAGCTGAGGTCAGCCTGTGGACTCAAGCCAAGGGGTCACAACACACAAGACCCCACAGGAGACCCTCACACCATAGTGTAGCTATCCCACCTCAACTCAATGGAAAGTGGACAACATACACCTAGTGAGACTGGAAAACCAATCAGATGTCATGGGACTACAGCACACATGAAACAAGGCTGATGCTCCACCGTGTCCCCTGTTCACACCTGACTGATAATCTCTCCTTATCATCCTGTATCACCTATCAGCTTGTTTTGTGTTTGGGCAGTAAACTCTCTGGGCAGAGAGGGTTTCTTTGGGTGTGTTCGCTACAGCACCTAGCACAAAGGCACTGTGGTTCAAGACCTCCGAGACACTACACCAACCATTAATAGTTCAACAAACACTTAGGAAAATTCTGACCCAAACTTTTGTACAAAACCAGTGAATAAGACCAATTTTCAACCCGTAACAGCAGAGCCTGGCCACAAATGAGCTCTGCAGCCTCATCACACAAGACTCTCACCAGCATTTATCATCTACAGTGTTACTTTTCCATCCTCCTGTCTCCTTGATGTTTCCAAGGTTCCAAGAACAGGCCAGCTCTCTTCTTTCTCATGATCCTACCTCTGGCCCCTACTCTCCCCCAGCTCCACTCACAGCCTCCTTGGGCTGTGATCATCAGGAGAGGTTTGCAAGGCTTAGGTTTGCCACTGTGCTCCTTCTGCCTCTGTAAACATTTCAAACTCTTATTCGTGCTGTTGTTTTAACCCGCCTGGTGTTAGTCAATGAATCAAGGCAAGAGTGCCAGACAGAGCAAGACAAGATAAAATTCCCTGGCTGGCATCAATTATTAGCTATTTTCAGTACCCACAGACATCAGATCAATCTTCATCATGTTCAGATGAACACTGTGGATTAACCACAGGCTCCCTACACCCGCATGACGAGCTATTCTTCCCCATCACATGCCCTCTTTTTGTCATGGACTCCAACATGTACAACACTTGTCTGCGCTTTCAAACAAAGCAAAGGAAAAGGATTATCTAGGTCTCCAGTAGAAAATCTGACCATAGAAATGCATCTCTCAGGTATGTTACTTAATCCGTTCTGCATTCACATCACTTCAGCAAATCCCATCAGCAGCCCAGCGCTTCACAAGCATGGGCCAGTTATGAGGAGATGCTTCTTAAATATTCAGATTTAGCACAACCACCGCTGTTTATTCTGACTTTATCTCCCTCCCTCTTCCCACATAAACCCATTTCATGTACATAAACACATTTCACTCCAAAGCAAACCACTTCAAAGCACAGTTTATAGCAAGGCTTGTGCCAGTGGCTGCTCTGCACTGTACTAATTGGAAACCGCTACGTCTAAGACAAGGACAAATAAAACCCTTCACTTGCTTCGGAACTGATTTGGCTAAAGGAAGAAAAAGGTTCCCACTTAAACCTCTGCAATCAAAACCTGGATCCAAACCAAAATGCTCAGTTCCAGCTCACTCCAGTTTGGTGCTGACACATAGGTGCCAACAGCCACCGTGGTCCCCCCCGAGCCCCCCTCTCCACCCACCTCGCCTGCCTCGCTCCCGAGCTGCCACAGCACCAGCATTTGCTGTCCTCAGTCCCTGCTCATTTAAAGCCCGAGCAAAGCGTGCCATGCGTGCTGCTCTCAATCAACACCACCAAAGCCACCAGCGTGGGGCGGCGGGAGGAACCACGCTCGCGTTTCTCTCGCTGAGCAGATTTTCCGTGATGGGTACTCCATCCGCCAAACGTCTCCTGATGGCCACAGCATGCACCACATGATGCCATTTGCTTTCACCGGCCGGAAGCAGCCCAGGAAGGATGATTCAAAGAAACCTGCACACACCTAATGGCATTCACGGGAGACATGGGCTGGTCTGATATGTGTCTGAGACTCTTGGACAGCTACAAATGATTTTTCACTAAGATAAAGAGGAGAATGGAAAAAGCTGCAGCGATTACATCATATAAAATAAATTTTACCAACTAAAGATAGTCTAGACAACAGTTCCTGCAGTTCCCTCCTACTGCACTTAACCGTCCAGGCTTCTGTTCCACACAGTAACATCAGCACGATGGAAACAGCTGCTCATTTTCTTACCCTCCACAACTCCAACTCCAACACTGCTTCTTCTTGTGTTCATGGGAGCCACAAAAAACCACTCATTGGTTTTATAGCTATAGGCCTCAACTGATGCCAGACCTAGTTAAAAAGGGGATACACAGGTTTTCTAATTAAAAAAAAAGAGAAGAAAAAAAGATTGGTGTTGCACTTTCATCTGCCTTCCACCTCCCACCTCCTCCCAAGCCCATAATTCCCCACACATTCCTGCAACCCAATTTTCTAGTCCCTTCCCCCTTTTAGGCTGGGACTAGTGTGAAGTCAACGCCACTTCTTCAGCAGCTGGAAAAATTACTACCCCTGCCCTGGGACTGCTGCTCCTCTGATGTGCTGAGGACACCAAGGAGGAACAGAGTCCAGATTCCAAGCCCAAAAGTCCCACGTCCTTTCAAACATTACAAAATATCCATGCAAAGGTTTAAAAATTCCCCCAGACCCCATCGTATTGTACTCATCACTAACTGAAATGCTGAGTTTAGGGATAAACCAAGTGGCAAAGCTGTACATCAGAGGCAGAGGTGTGACTCTAAACATGTAGTTATGCCATGATAAATCCCAGACACACATACCCCATAAGATGCTTTGCTGACATTTTATTCATGTTGCTATGATAAATTTAACTAAAAATCAAGAAAGATCCCTTTTCAGTCCAGAATAAGCATATTCGTATAGAGAACAAGACTGAAAGAATTGTATCACTACAGAAAAAAACACTAGGGTGAGATACTCTGCAATTACTGATGGGTCAAAACGAGCAAGGGGTTAGTTACAACATGCAGTAAACCCAGTCTCTGGCTCTTTCTCAATAAAATCAGAGAGGAAGAGTGCCAGATCCTCACTAAAGCTCTGCAATTTTTGCAGGGGGTCTCCGAAAACATTTTTTCAGGCCAAGCACTACGTGTTTTTTGCTCAGTCACCTACCAGTGCTGCCATCGAAGCCGCCGACTGCATACAGGAGATCATTGAGCACAGCTGCCCCTAACGTGCTTCGCCTTTCCTGCATGCTGGCTATGGAGGTCCACTGGTCCTTCACGCCATCGTACACATCAACCGTCCGTACCCTTAAGGACCCGTTGAAGCCCCCGACAGCATAAACGTTGCCAGCCATAAACACCACACCTGGTAAAAGAGGAGAGAGATTTTACGGTGGTTTATACACACAGCTTGGGGAGTGAGTATCATCAGGCATCGGGTGAAGTGCGTAACACAGCAGGGAAGAGCAGAACGTGGGGAATTCTTTGGCATTTTCTGTGGGTTAAGAGCACTGGAGCCAAGAATGATAAAACATGTGTCATACGGAAGATGAAATGCACATAAATACACAGCACCATAAGGCACAGATGGATTTCACACCTGACTGAGTAACTTTCTGAGCCAGAGAGGACCAAAAAAAAAAAATGGTGATCCACATTCACAACCCTCTCAGATGCCTTCGGAGGAACGCACCCAGCTTACAGATCTGCTTTCCATCACCCTTCAGCACCCAGAGGGCCTGACTCAGCTCCTTTGGTTTTCACTAGGAAACCAGCATGGAAAACTGGATTCCTGTTGGCTGCTAGGCCGGCAGGATGGGAAGAGGAAGGAAAACACTGATGGAAGAGCAGCCAGGAGAGAGAATTGATAGAGACAGTGGCTGTGGAGGGCAGACAGGCAGGAGCAACCCCTCTAGAGAGCAGGGCATCCACCTGAATGAGAAGGATACATAAAGAGGAGGAAGGAATGGCAAAAAGCAAGCTGCTTGAGGCCAGGGGCAAAGAGGAAGGATGAAGGATGACTGAAGACATCCATCCAGCCCCAAAGAGCTGCATTGGGAAAACAAAGAAGGTTGCAGAAGTAGCTCCCGTTACCTGCTCGGCACCTCCGGGAAGGAAGCTCAGCAACTTGATCCCACCTCTCCTCCTCAAAATCATAGCACTCCACACTTCGAATGGCTTTGGGTGCTTGCCCACCCACCACGATCATCACCTGGGGAGGGAAGATGAGAGCTAGAAAACCTCAGACACCAGCCCAGGCAGCTGCACTCTGCAAAGAAACCATCAGCACAACCTGGTCAAGAGCAGCTGCTAAAAACATGCTGAAGGCACACTAAAAGTCTCTGCAGGGGAAAAACATTATCTCCAATTTAATAGTCCCTAAATACGGTGGCACCATTAACCATTCCTTACCCTTTCTGAAGAGGGCAACCTGCCCTGCTTCCCCATGAAACACAAAACCGCTTTGTACCACGGGACATGCAAGACTCACTGCAGAAGTATTTTGAAGGGAAGACGACCCCAGCATAATTTCCAAAGCCAGCCCAGTGTTTAGTCATTATCTCCATGGTGGTGCTAAAAATAAATCGATGCCACTTTAGCAAATAAAACCTGACAGCTGTATTGCCACCTGCGGGGAAGCCAACACTCGGGGAAATCACCAGGACTATTAAGTCCCAGGGTGCCAGGCTGCTGAAGGAAGTGTTTAGTCAGCTTCGTTAAAGCTTTCGGCTGCAACACGTATTGATGCAAATCCAGTAATTAAACCCTGAATTCCATACACGTAGGGAAGACCTATGCGAAGCTGACCAAGGTAACCTCAGGAGCGCAAGAATCACTCTGCCACGTCAGTCTAAAGGTCCATCCAGCCCTAAGCTCCATTCCCAGCAACAGCAAGAGGTGGACAGTGGTGGAAAAGTGAGAAGACCTGGACGGCATGCAGTGTGGTCTTTCCCAAATCTGCCCTGCCTGCCACCATGGACTTGTTCGCTTGCCATGGGGCAGCAGTCCCAGGAGCCTGCAGCTCAGCACTCGAGCCGGGCACTGTAAACCAGCGGGTGCACTCGCAGCATCCAAACCACCTGCACCTACAAACAGCTCAAGCTGCACTCTGTCCTGAACACGTCTCCTTCGACCCTCCACAGCTATCAACGGGAAGGATTTGCCTCCCTTATCACAGCAAATTGGCAGGAGCAATCTGATTTTTACAAGGCCAAGGAACTAGAAGCCAGGTAATGGGTCTTCAGACACAGTCAAAGAGGAGATGGGAAACTGGCTTTAGCCTCTCCAAGGCAGCTGTGAGTAGCTGAGGGGATAAGATCATCACTCAGGTAATGAGCTCAACTCCAATCACGGCTGCTTTAAAAGTACAGAGCTAGATGGCAATTTAAAGAATTTGAAGGCATGAAAATACCAGACCATTTGCTCTACAAAGATGAGAACGTGACATCAGAAAGCAAATCGAGGCTAAACTAGCAGCCTGACTACTAGCTGTGCAACAGCCTTCCATGGAAAGCTGCAGAGCTTCACACGATTACGGAATTCAGAGATTTCACAGTAATCCCTCATCAGCGGGACCAACAGACCAGAAGAAAGTTTCTCAGTAATGGGATTGCTGGAAGATCATCACCATCTCCCCTTTCCTTTACAGTTAAAAGGAAGGGAGGAGAGACCTGCAGGTGATGTGGGTTTGTACTCACAGCCTTGCTACAGAAGATGTTGAGAACCTCTAAACTCACTGGTTTGCCATTCATTTTGTCCTTAACTGCTTCAGTCCTTGGACAAGGATCATGTCAGCCCTTCATGATACGGCCCCCCCCAGCGCTATGTTCTACCACCTTCACCTCAGCGCCAGCAGGCAGAAAGGACACAACATGCTGGCACACTCTGCAGAACCAAAATTCCTTGATGGACAGTCCAATATCTAAACATCCAAATAGTCACTCCTAGCACAGATCTCATACATCACCCCACACGCAAACCAAGGTCCCTACAATTTGCACTTAGAAAAATAATACACTGTGGTTTTGATGTCTTACAATCTCCAAAACACTTAACTTCAGTGGCAGTCTGTTGAGAGACATCATGCCACAGTGCATTTATCTCCAGGGCACAGGGAAAATAGTTTGTTTCCTTTTTTTTTTCTTCACTAATAGTGGTGGCCAGAGCATCACATGCCTGCAGGATAAATGCAGGGAGTAACAAGGATTATTTATTTATTCAGTAGCTGCTTTGAGTCTATTGAAATTTGCTTCAGACTTCCTGCCCACAGGTCTGGGTGCCGTTGTTTCCTGCTTTCCGATTATGGATACGGGAAAAGGAAAGACACCTACCACGATCCTCGTCAGCAGGGCTCCACAGCAGTGCGATAAGCCAGCAGAAACCTCAGCTAAGCCTCCGAGCACCCCAGGCAGCTGCCTGCAGCCGCTCCACGGGGCAGCGATTCTCAAGCCGCAGCTCCAGGAGCAACAGCCGTTCACAAAACGGGGCTGACAAAAAGCCTCCAGAGCAGATATTGGTTCTCCTAAGGGTTTATCTAAGTTTCAGTGTTTGTTTTTTTTTAATTATGTATCCTTGGTGGGCACTGGCAATACCAGAAGGGGGAGTAAAACACTTCAAAGGATGATCAGGGAGTTAGAAGTAACGTGACAAGTACCCAAGCTCCTTTCAAAGCCAGAAAAGGCCAGCACTATTACGGTGCGAGGTGACACGAAGCAACAGATTCGACTTACCTTTGGCAGGCTAACGGGAGTCCTCGGCTTTGTTCTGGGATTCTTTATCAGTTGCCTTTGATCCAGAGGAAGCAAATGATATTTCATGGCCTCGATAAGGAAGTCTTTACAGGTGTTGTTATTCTTGATTAAAGCTTCTTCCTCAACTGTCTGAGAACATGCACACACACATGAAAGATCATTTAAACTGAAGTACTTGGCAACACAGGTCACAGGAAGCTTTGTAGAAAGAACATGAAACCTGGAATTTCTCTTCTAAAGTACTAACATTAAAAAGAATATACAGAATACAGACTTCCAGCTCTTCCCAAAGAAACACATGCAGTAACATCCAAGCTTCTCACTTTTTTCCAGTATCACTCACGAGCAGCAGTGCTCCCTCTATTTTACCACCCTCTGCCAGATGCTTAACTCAGATGCTACTCAGGAGTCTGGGTAGAAAATAAGTAATTTCTTTTATCGGAGTCATAATTTTTAAGGAGAGGCAGTATCTTTTACTTGTATATCAGAATATATAGTCAAGAGAAAAAAATACATGATGGGTTCATCTTGTGAATAGCAGTTTTATTTCAGTTGTATTGATTTTTTTAGACACAGGAGCATAGGAGTCAAAGAACCCATTATGCCAATCCCTTCTTCAGGGATTCTCAGCTCATCAAGGCCCAGATCCCAGGAATTTACTCGTCAAGTAAATCTCTAAGTCAGACTAAGTCAGAGACCACCTCGCCTGCCAGACACACAGACACATCTCTGTGTAGAACATGTCTTAAGCCAAAATTATCACACGACGTTTTCACCAAGCTAAATTTACCTGTGCATTAGGGGAAAAAACTGAACAAGCTTATAACACCACCACCTGGGTATTTTCAGGGTGAAAAAATGCCAAGATATTAACTTGTAAATGCTCCCGCCAAGAGAGGCAGGCGCTCCGCTCCCAGCACTGCCTGGCAGAGCACAGGTCACGTTTGCAAAAAGGTTTCTGCACACACATTGATTTCAGAGTCCATTCACTTTTTCATTTTATTCCTGTTTACAGACTCAGCAACATGCCAGATTACCTATTTCAGACAGACAGCCAAGCCATTGATTAAAGAGCTACCAGCAGCTTCAGTGCAAGTATTAATTACCTATTGGCAGACTTACCTGTACAAGATAATCTCTGGGCAAAAGGGGAAGGCGAACATGCTCCATCAGTTTAGCCATATGCTCTAAGCGAGATTCCTTCTCATAATTTATCCAAGAAATAACTGCTTCAAAGACCTACAGAGATAAAATACAATTAAACAGAGAAGAGAGAACTGGCATGCAGTCACCTACCCAAAAATCAGAAGCATTGTGATCATAGAATGGTTTGGGTCAGAAGGGACCTTAATGACCATCTCGTTCCAACTGCCTGCCATGGGCAGGGACACATTCCACCAGACCAGGTTGCTCCAAGCCTCATCCAGCCTGACCTTGGACACTTCCAGGGATGGGGCATCCACAGCTTCTCTGGGCAACCTGTCCCAGTGCTTCACCACCCTCTCCGTGAAGAATTTCTTCCTGATATCTAATCTAAACCTCCCTGCTTCCAATTTAAACCCATTACCGCTTGTGATTTTGCAATATCAGAGAAAGGAGGTGCAAGATCTCTATCAAACAGATGAAAAAGTCATGACTGTGCCCAGAGCACAAGCACCACAGTAGCAAAGAGGTGAGCTGTCCATGCATATTAATAAGTAACTTCACATCTAGATGTGCTGGATCACTCTAAGCTAAGTGTGTGTCCAGGATAATCATATACCTCTTGGACATTAGTACTGGAAGGCAGCCAGGAAACTTAATTAGCCTGCTGACATTTGCACTGGACATTATTCATGAAATCAGCCACACAATTACTCCTGATAACAGAGATCTGCCCTCCCAAAGGAGTCTGCACACACAGTAAGTCACTACAGTCACCAGCATATTTAATCACTGCACCAGTTTCCCCCTTCCACCCCAAAACCCAAGAAGTGTCCAAGACAAGTTCGTCACAGAGCCTCTGCCCTGCACGCATTCACTGCTAAAAATACTCGGATACTCCAGCAGGCAAACAAGGGCACGCCAGACTTCTGGTCTGAACCAAAACCTAGTTTTACTCCCAGATCCAACCGGTCCAGATAAGCATCCAAACTCTGACTCCGTGACAAAGTGCGCACAAACCACCCCTTGCAGCAGGAGCCGTGCAGAGCCCTGTGCAGCGAACAGACTCGGACAGAAGCACCCTACACGGGCTCCTGCGTGAATATGCATTTGCTTATGTAACTGTCAGCCACACTCCTCCCAGAAACAAGGCCTAAAAATGTCACCGGGAGTGGGAAAGGCTTCCTGAAACACCCAGCAAAGCAAGCAGAGGGGCTGGTGCCACCTCGCATGCTGCACAGCAGGATCTGAATCCCTGCAGTGGAATTTCCCACAGAGTCAGAATTAAATTCTGACCCCTAAAGCATCCACAGGCAGAATTCCCCAGGTGCTCCTGCTGCCCTGATACTCATGGGGGGCTGACCACAGCCCTCTCCCACAGACCCTGGCCATCCCGTGCTTCCCCAAAACGCATCGCCGGCCCTTCACCCCAGCACACTCGGCAAGTGCCCTTGGTTTTAACTTCCCTCCGGGGTCACCAAATGGTCAGGTCAATCTGCACAGGGTTTTTTCTTTCTTTCCATCCCTCCCATCACTCCCCAACAAACCATTTTGTTTGGTGCAAAGTCATTAATTTGAGAAAATTTATCAGAACTGAGGGCATCATCTCTTGGTCCCCCAGTTGTCACTGGCAAATGCACTCCCAGGAGGCATCCTGACATGCTCCACGATGGAGTGGCAGTGCAGAAAGGCGTTCCTCCTCTTAGGCTAAACTATGTACCTTTAAAAAAAAGCAGTAATGCACCGGCCTCATTTCCTACGCCAGCAAACGTTGCTGAGCTGTTTGGAATTCAGGGCACTGCGATGAGGGTTTAAGCAATGCAATGAGGAGCCGTGTAGTCAAACCCCAGCCAACGCAGAGGGAAATAACTACTGCAGAGCCTCGAAGTTTTTTAAATTGAAAATAAACAATTTCACTATGGCTACATGGCTTTTAAAGTAGAAACTGGGTGGTTGTAAGATTTTTAATTGCAAATGAGTGTGGAAGGAGCATAAAGCAAATGTTTGGCCAACAAACATGGTTTTCTTTAACTTCTTCCACACAAATGCTGAGCTTACTACAGAACAGGTCACAGGACAGGGACATGCCCAGCTGCAGACACGGAAGACAGGGAACAAGTCTTAAAGGAAGGTAAGGCAAATGTGCACAAGGAATAAACTGCTTCCTCGGTGCTGGAGACGGCTCCTGAGTTAGGCGGATACTGATGCTACCCTGCTGTGCCTACTCTAAAAATAGCAGAAATTTTTGGAAAAATCAGATTCTGGCACCTTCCATTGGCTCCAATTCCCGATTTTATGAGAAGGGGGAAAGAAATTCTTAATCCAAGCCAGTGGTCTCTCTATTTAAAGGCCACATCTGTTTCCTCCACTGCCATGCCCTCCCTCCACACGCTGTGCCTGCTGCAGACCCTGAGCAGCTGGCTGCCACTCCTCCCGGAGATGGGTTTTTCCAGCCATCCAAGACCTGCTGCCAAGGTGTGATGAAATGAAGCAGCACCCCCCCAGCTTTATTGAGAGCAGAGGCACAGGCTGAGTTCACAGCTGGCACCTGCCTGGCTGCAGGAGCAGTCCTGAGCTTGGGAGAAGCCGATTTCCCACTCCAGGTAAAAGCCTGGAAGATCCCTCTTGTGCATATTACCCAAGCAAAGAGCAAGCCCAGATGTCCCAGCCTTTTCAGCCAAAAATCCAGTTAAGATGTTCCTAGGTGTAAGGACCAAACTGTGCATCAGCTTCTACTGCACATTAGTGGCATGAGCTCCAGGTAAAATACCCAATCCAAAAATCCCAACCCACTTAAAAATTTCTTTTGTCACTGTTCTGAGGTGGCAGAAGCTCCTTCTCAAGGCTGGAAACCCCTGCATTTCACACATCATTAATAAATACAAATATACTTTTTCTTTCCTATAGTGTTTCCTTGCTTGCTTTCATTGTTATAATTAGGGAGCCAATTAGGTCAGGTATGGAAAGCACTGATAAAACTGTCTTCAAAGTACTCAGCTATAGCAAAAAGAGCAGGCAGGGACCAAAATAAACCTTTGCCCTAGGCCAAAAGGGCCTGTGCAACTGCAGAGGCTTGAAACAGCAAGGCAGAGAGGGAGAGGAAGGAGAATAATCTTTGAATAAAGGGGAAAACATCCCCATTTTACAATTTCTGTAGTCCTGATGGCCTAGGGATATAAGTATGCCAAAATTTGTGGAGGTAAAGAATATATTTTATTAGGCCAAATAGTATTAGTTAGGGGTAGCAGAGGAAAGGGAGAAGGAAGCATTATAAGGACAGCACTTCCCTCTCTGGCCTCTGTTACCTTCTGGCCCTGGAAGGTCACTTCCCAATGACCCAGAGATGGAAATGTTCTGGCTGACAGGCTGCAGAACATGCACAAAGCATGGTAAGAACAGGAACCTCTCAGAATCTGGCTGTGACAATTTAGCTCTCAGTTTTTGAAGTATTTGCCTATTTTATTGCTTAAACATCTTACTGCTTAAAAAACAGTTATCTATCCATCACATGCATATATATACATATATCTGTATAGATACACACACACGTGTACTTAATACATTAATGCATACACTTTTTTAATATCATCTCACACATTAGCAGATTGGAAGAATAAAACTCAGGAAAACTGCTTGCCTGTCTTGAAGCTAACACAAAACAGCAGCCTGAGAGTCTGTCCTCAATTTTCAGCACTTCTTTGGACTCCAGCACCTATTTCATGTTTATGTTCCAATCCCATGGTCTGCCTCTCTCCCATTATTCATATCTGTTGTTCTGAACGCACAGCTTATGCTTACGTTTCCTTCCACTGCCTGGCACTCTCAACTTTTACAATCAGCTAAAGAAATACTGGGTTTGATTGTATGAAGCGCAGATGAGGGAGTACTTTGATTTCTCTGGGCACGAGGCCAATAAAAGCTTTTTAACAATGCTGCACAGGACTGGAAAAATCAGTTACTAAACTTGTGCTTCTCTTTGCAGGCTGCTTGGCTCATGCCAAGCGATTCTGCTTCGAGTTCACGCTGTTTGGTTGTTCTCTTTTTGGCCCTGCCTATGTGGCACCAAGCAGCACCCCACCAAGACACCCACAGTAGCCCCACGCCTGCGGAAACCCGCTCCCGAAACCCCCGAGTTTGCTTGGCTGAGGATCTGAATGAAGCATCACTGCACTGGCACCTCACATGGGGTGGGTTTTCCAGCAAGCCTTACGGTCCCAGCACCACATGTGTCCGCAGCCTGGAGAGGCTGAGCTGGATGGTGCACACAGCTGGACACACCGTTTGACCAGCTCCAGCCTCATCCCACCAAACCGTAAGCGTTCAGAGGTTGCGAAGCTTTGAGCCACATAATCCTCAACCTCTCCTGGAGGCTCCCACAAGTGTCCACCTCCCCGTAGCACCACTCTGGATGTGAGCTGAAGGAGGAGGTACATGCGTTTCCCCCAGAAACTTGCTGCAGGTCATGCAAGAAGCCCACCCCAGGGAAAGGGTGTTCACCAAGTACCGTAACCACTGGTCACCCTCCTTACCAGGACCACAAACTGCACAAGTTCTGCTGAACGTTTAAACGACAAAACAACACCAATAGTGCCTTTTTTCACCCTCTTCCATTAAAAGCACTGCTGATGCCAAGCAAATCATAGAATCGCATCATAGAATGGTTTGGGTTGGAAGGGACCTTAAAGCCCATCCAGTCCAACCCCCCTGCCATGGGCAGGGACACTCTCCACTAGACCAGGTTGCTCCAAGCCTCATCCAGCCTGGCCTTGGACACTTCCAAGGATGGGGCATCCACAGCTTCTCTGGGCAACCTGTCCCAGTGCCTCTCTAGGAAGAATTTCTTCTTCACATCCAATCTAAATCTACCCACTTACAGTTTAAACCCATTACCCCTTGCCCTGTCACTTCCTGCCCTTGTAAAACATCTCCCTCCAGCTTTCTTACAGGAAAATGTTTCCTTCCTTCTTTTTGCAGACCTCCTTTACGTGTTCTGTCCAACATGCAACAGAAGCCAATACTCCTCCCTGGCCTAATGAAATTCACCTTTTTTAAGGTTTTATGGCAGGTAATACGAGCTTTACACCAGCAGCAAATGGGAGGGTCCTAGTTTTCCAGAGTATCCTGTTCTGTTCCCCAGGGCTTTTGGAAGAGATATGGATCTGAGAATCATAACTTCCTACAAAGAGCAACCAAGTGAAGGTCATTTTTATGTACTTTTAGGATTCACATTATTTTTGATTTTCCTTTCCACATGAGCTCTGTTGGAAAATGGCCCCTAAAAAGCATAACGTGAGAACAGTTCCTGATGCAAGACCTAGAAACATTCCAGCATTCTTACATTCACTGTTGCCATACAGTTTACTGTACCTTTTCTTCAGAGGAGACTGTGAGCTTGTCGCTTGATATTAAACTGCAAACCTGGTCCAGACTAAGGCTAAGAAATTCTTCGCCTAGCATCACCTCAGGGAAGTGCTGCTCTGTTCAACAAATGAAAAGGGGGAACAGAAAATTATAATGAAATCCATGCTTGAAGTCAATGAAGGACTACAGCATTTAGAGAACCGTTATTATTACAGCGCTGAGCACCCGAGAGACAACACACCGCGACTTCATGGCAGAACAGAAACTAGTCTCAGAGCAGGTTAAAGAAATCTGATGTTATTGCAAGTAACACAAGCCCCATGAGACACTTTCATAAGTGACACTAAATGAAAACTTCCTGCAAAGTAAAGCCCCTAAGTACCTTCCTGTGGCAAGTATGATTAGGAGTGGCAATTGAGAAAAGTGTGAATGTCATTCTGCAGTAGTAAATACCCCAGCCACCTCAAGATTCAGTTCTTGCCCACTTCAACAAGATAGACAGAATGAGATCTGCTCAACACCTAGGTGAGAGACTCCAGCAAGAGTCCTTGATATTTGTAGGTATTCAAAGAAAAGCCCATCTTAAACATGAATCAGCCAGTTTGGTGCATAACAAATAGTGAGGGATCCCAGGGCATCCAGCTGAATCTGTAGGTGCAAGGGGGCACACAGAGATGGGATTAGGATCTCCCATTTGCCCATGCACACACATGGGATCAGTTCTCCTTACACAGTGTATTTCTTTCCCCCAAAATGTGTAAATTTAACCTCTCTTGCTCCAAAGCCTCAGCACCCACCTTCTCCAGCACCCTTGCCCCTTTCCATTTAAGGCTGCAACTGTACAAATTTGGTCATCTCCCTTTCTGCCTCCAAATTCCTCCATGCTGTAACTTTGGGAGCCACTTGAAGGGAAAATACACATCACTACTTATAATCCCAAACTGGAAGAATTATGACGGGTTGCAATACAGGTCCAAAAAAGGAATATTGAATCTGTCAAGCTTTAAGGGGCACTAGGAAATAATTACTTAAAAAATAATTTCTAGGTCAAAACCGTTGTTAGCCAGCTTCAGACAATTTTAATTTTGCAAGCATTTGTTTAATCTCACCTGCCATTTGTTGAGTCCCATTTATCTTGGGCTGCAATGCGGAATCATGACTCTCAGACAGACACTTTATCTGAAGCAGCATTTTTCAAGCCCTAATCCCTCAGACTCATGTATCCAAAGAGCTCCCTTCACAGCAAGATCCGCCTCCAGTTTTCACCTCTGCAACGTACTTTGCCTGCCAAAAAGCAGCACCACAGGGACACAAGCTGGCATAACTTCCAGAGAGGAGCTCCTTGGAGATGACACCTGAGCAACACCTCACCAATGCTGGTGCTGCAAAGGGCACTTGGCTTCCCCAGCCACGGACCCTGCTTGGTCTAATGGGGACCAAAACACCATGGCTAAGAAAAAGGCTCGGGCTAAGAATAGCAGTGTCTGGATAAAGTTTAACACTCTGTTACACTAGAAATCATATATAAGATCTTATGAACTCTTCTGGCCTTAAATACTTAGATTAGAAGCAGGAAACGCTCCCCACACAGTGAGCTGGGTGGATGCACTCTGACTCTGGACACAATCTCCTGTGCATTCTGGACTGGCATGCGGCAGTAGAAAGGTATTTGATCTCTTGTTATTAGTTGGAAGCAAGTAAAAATATTTCCTGATTTTAGCAAAGTAACTTATTCCTGCATCAAGAAGGCTCCTCCACCTCCTAAAGTTATCCACTGGACCCTTGAGCCTGGGGACTTCTGTCTTGGTTTAACACTGTTACATAAACAACATGGTGAAAAGAATTTTAATGGCATTTTTATTAATGGAGTTCCATTAACATTACATGGGCTGTTGTACTAACTGGGACTTATGAAGGCCAATAAAACAAGAAAGCAGACTTTCTAATTGCCAAACAACCAAATAAATATACAGTGAATGCACTGCTTGTTGGGTTAAAGATTAAACAGGGCCTGGAAGCAAGGATAATGAGATACTACAAGCAAGCCTTTACACAATTAACCATTCCTTCCAGGGTACCTTTTCCTCCAGGGGACAATACAGCCAGAGCAGCTGAAAAGGTTTTACTTTTATTTGCAAGAGAATAGGGGTGGACTTGGTGGGCACATTATTCCGCTGAGCCTACTTATGGTCCAATTAGGGACAAAAATACACCAAGCAAAACATTGCAGGACAGAGCAGGTGCTCTGGGAGACAGCAGGTGTATTTTTCCCTATACAAACAGACAGAAAAGCAGGGAAAAAAAAAAGAACAAAACTAAGTCAAGAAAAATACCAGCTTCTCCCAAGCAGAGGTCAAGGGCAACTCTGCCGGAGGAGACTGGAAAGTGCTGGAGAGTTAAGAGCACAGGGCCACTTGGAACAACTTTACATTTACAACCTAGAAGAGAAGTGCTGAAAGCTGCTGCCTGCACCTACTTCTTGCACATCCACTCCCAAGGAATCAAGAGGCTGTCCACCACTTGGGGTAAGCGGCCATTGCTCCATGGATCAGAGGCTCAAACTGCCTGGCAATTTTAGTTGCATGTTCCCACTCCCACCCACAAGATTTAGTTTTGCCTGCTGCCATTTATTCCTGGAATGCACAAATCCCCAGCATTGCTCCCTACTCTCACGGGGCAGCATACAGAGGGAGGACATCAGCGTGCCAACACCGTGCTGTTGAGCAGGCAGCCGAAGAGCTTACTAGGAACATACTGAGGAACAGTTTCATGGGCTGGGATCCGGAGGATCAGGGTTTTTACCTCCTTAGGTGTTCCCCCTGCGACCAAACCACATTTTACAACTCGCAGCATTACAGAAAGTTACAAGTCTAAGACCCAAAAAAGTATTCCCTTCTCTGTTCTAATACTAGAAGCATGAAGAGACCAACCAGGATGTGCTGATCTCGCTCAACCTACAAGTCCCTGCACCTGGAAGCAGGTTTAACTGGACAAGCAGATGACCCTTCCCTCACCTGCGTAGGCGTTTGCCTGCTGCAGCAGTTCAGTACACGCGTGCACATCGGCAAAAGCTCGGATGCCAAGGCAGTTCGTGGGATGCAGCTGGGACTGAAGAAAGTCACAGCAGTTTTTTCTCACATCCATCAATTGCAATAAACTAGCAGCTGGCAATAAAACCTGCAAAAGACAAGAAAGGGGAATTGGAGTTAGCAACAAAGAAAGTTTGATTCACAGCTTGCACAAATTCGATGCAATTCCCATTCAGATGAGGACACATCTGTGGGGTACCAGAGGAAGGTTAAAGTTTTAGCACTATCCATATGCAGAAGATGCCTGTCCATGCTCCAAGAAATGGAAATAGCTATCCCATGCTGGGCTGAAAGCAGAGCTCTTCTCCCCACAAGACCTCATGGAAGGTAAAGGAAGGACAAAAAGCAAGCAACGACGTATGCACCTGAATTTCTGGCTTTGCTGCAGGTAGGTCCTGCACACAGATTATTTTTTTTCCCCCTGAAAGAGCTTTATATTATTTATAAGCATTAGCACCCCATTCAAAGCCCATAGCAGCCCAGCACTCCTTATTTCCAACAGAACTACATTGGCTGTGACCAGGGTGCCCAAACTGCCGTGTAAGAGCGTGAGTTCGCAGAAGCTCAAGCAGATTTTGGTGACAGCAATGCCCTCAGGAGGGATGGGGCCAACCACTCAAATCAACAGCCCTCATTTTCCCCCACACAAAACGCTGTGGACACGGGGTTCACGAATGCATCTGAAAGTGAGGGACTGCTTTACACCTACAAAACAAGTGCAGAAAAGGGAGACAGAAGGACCATCTTTGAGGCCAGCGAGCAGGACAGGAAGCAGAAAATAAAGTCAGTTAAGATGTTACAGCCCATGACATCAGTTATTTCCTTTCTTATGTCGTACAGCAACTGCAGACATCTTATCCTGTAGACAAAGCGCTTCCCTAGCTCTGGCTGCTTCACACACGTGCTTCTACCCGGGATCTGTGTTCACCGTCAGAGCACAGATTTCCAGAAAATCATTTCCGACTCAAAAAAACCAAGCAGCCATTAAGCAAAACAAACAGGTTAACCAAAATCACCTCCCTGGATATTGATGGCAGAGAAGGGAAAAAGACACCCCTTCCCTTCCTTGCCCATCTGCCCCCACAGCCTCATTCTGCATCGGGGCAGGACACTCACAACCTGCCCCAGATCTTTTCTAAGCCACTGACGCATTCCAGCTCCAGCCCAGCTGTACGGTGTCCGACTGCTGCCAAGCAGCCACCTCAACAGGCAACAATTAAAAAAAAAAAAAATCAATTAACTCTGCAGCCTGTTTTGGCTCAAGGCTTTTGATGCCAGGAGGAGATTAGTTTGTGGGTTTGATTAAATCAAGATAGCAATGCAGTTTTGGAACCTAGCTGTGAACCACTTTCTATCTAGCTGAACTATCTCCCTGTATCAGCAGAAAGGCGAGCACCTGACTTGCATAAGGGCTGTGGGTAAAGAAGTCAGACTCCCTGCAAGCCATCTCTGGCCATATGCCAGCCAGAGCTTCCTCCAGGCACCCCCCATCCATCCAGCAAATCCAGGCAGGCTGTTTTGGTATGTTGTCTCTAAATCAGACAGTACTTACTACCATCACTAACACCCACATGCTACAGACCCCTGGACAACCCAGTACTGTTACTACAGCCTCGTGCTGGCTTGAGGGGGCAGTGTAGAAGGAGCCTTACACCCCTGCAGTTATTGGGAAAAAGGCATTGTCATATAACACTTCTGAGAAGTAGGATATATGAATAGCCTATCAAGAGATAAGTGGATTTTCTCTTTCTTATTTCCCAGCTGAACGTCTCACCACTCATCTTGTTTTTACCAGGGAAGGCGAAAAGCAAGCAAAGGATATCCGCTAGCACAAAGTCTGTTTCCTTTAGAAATAACAAGAGGAAATGCCCTGCCTAAACATGCAGCAGGACCAAACTGCAACCCCATTAATATCCAGGCAAGTTACTCACTTGGGTCTGGATTTGGCTTTGAGTATTTGAACTCCAACCACTGTGAACGATTTAGAGAGAGCTGGCTTCACTACCAGGTCAGCCTCCATACCACAATCCAATCGCCTTTGGAAAATACGTCAAAATTATCTGCTATTACTACCGAGACTGACTTCTTTACTAAATAATGTCCAGAACCTCATTTATGGGGTGTGTGTCTATATATACAGACACTCCCCATAACCATCTAGTTCACCAACTGTGCTCTTGCTCTGCAGACTCCATACCAATCTCAGGTTTTACAGAACATTGCTTGTGCAATTAAATACTTTCAGAAACCTTTGATGTCTCTGAAGCAGAAACATCTTTCAGCCAAAAGTGCTCTGTGCTGCAATAAGCTTCATTCAATAGGCAGGGCATTAACTCTGGACTTCAGAGACTGGGGTCTCTGCCACAGCCCTCCAGGTAACCTTGGCCAAGAGTTAATCTACACCATTCCTTTGCAAAACTGGGAGAGGAGCACTTCCCCAAGGCAGGGGATATATTAAATCTTATAAGCTGCTTTGACAGTTTAGTCAAATTGGAAGCCAAGTAAGGGTACTGGCTGTAATCCTCAGCAGCACATCTAGGGCCACAGCTGGGACCACACGTCTGCCCAAACAGGGAGACAGCTCCCAAGCACCTTCCCAGGGGAATCGACGACCAGCGAAACAAGCAGATCTTGCATTTGTAAGGCACATTAAATACTCAGTTTTAACTGAACAGCTCTAAAATGCACAAGATAAAACTCCATTCCTGTGATGTGGCTTTTCAGCGTTAAGACGTCAGTTGGGCTTCATCACTCCCCAGCCCCTACCAGGCAGTGCTGAAGGTGGACAACAGTGCTTCTACTTGAATGCTCCACCCTAGGAGAAATAGCTCAGGCAGAGGTATGTGTGCCAGGATCAGGGAGCCACAAAAACTCTCCAGGAGAAGGCATGAGAGGGACAAGGAATACAGAAGTGAAAGAAAGCAGGGGAGCAGCTGGCAACTTCCCTCCCGACTGACCTTCTCCAGCTTCACCACACAGATCATTCAGCAGTGGGATGAAGACGTGGGGACATCCGTCAGACACAGCAGAGTTCTCTGGTGCCACATCCACTAGCTTCTCCTCACCTTTCTATTAGGCCAATCCAATTTAAAAGACTTTCTATAGGCCTAGCGAGCACCCCAACCCAACTGCTGTTACACCCCAGAGAAGTCAGCCCTGCTGTAGACCAGGGCTCTCCAGCACCCCAGGAGGGCAGCGGAAGGTTCCAGGGAGGAAGACAGCCCTGTGTGCTGGGTTTGGCTGGGACAGAGTTAATTTTCTTCATAGTAGCTGGTATGGGGGCTCCATTTTGGATTTGTAACCAAAACAGTGTGGGTGACACAGGGATGCTTTCGTTACTGCTGAGCAGTGCTTACACAGTCAGGGTCTTTTCTGCTCCGCACCCCACCCAGGAGGGGGCTGGGGGTGCACAAGAATTTGGGAAGGGACACAAGCAGGACAGCTGACCCCAACTGACTAAAGGGATATTCCATACCAAATGGCATCACACTTAGCATATAAATTGAGGGATGAAAAAGGAAGGTGGACACACACACATTCGGAGTGGTGGCGTTGGTCTTCCCAAGTTACCATCATACATGATGGAGTCCTGATTTCCTGGGGATGGCTGAACACCTGCCTGTCCATGGGAACTGGGTACAAATGCCTTGTTTTGCTTTGCTTGCAGCTCAACCCACGAGTTTTCACTTTCACCCTTCTGATTTTCTCTCCCATCCCACTGTGGGAGGAGTGAGTGAGCGGCTGCGTGGTGCTGAGGTGCTGGCTGGGGCTAAACCACTACACAGGGATTTATTGCATCTCCCAAAGCCGAGTTGAAAGACTCTCAGCCTCACTCTGGGCTTGCACCTACTATAGTTGCAGCTTTTGGAGTGAACAGGGGGGAGATGAACTGACCCACTTATCCCTTTATCAAAACTCCATCTGCCACAGACACTCTCCCTTTGTTTTGAAGTCCTAAGTCCCCAGGGAAAGCTGAGATACAGAAGCATACTTCTGAAAAGGAAATGCTACAGCTTCTAGCAGAGCTTTTTGCCTCCCTTTGCAAGCCATTTTTTATTACAATTATTATGTCTGCAAAGCTGACAGTTTCAACATCTAATTCCCTCCAGAGAGCCGATTTCCAGACACCTCTTCGCTCTTCTTTATGAGCCATATCTCAAACTGTGGTAGTAATACAAGGACACAGCACGCATTTGGTACGCTGCACCTCACTTGTAAGAATTTAATTGTGAACTCAGGTTAATCAGGACTTTCCCCAGGGAACTGTTGCAACCCTACTGGTAATGACTCAATTGGGAGGGTAATTCTCAGGCTGCCTTCAAGTAATTAAGTGCCATCAGCAAGGACAGGTGCCACAAACCAAAGAGGGACTTATTCACTGTCTACAGCCAGAGGTCCAGGTGTCTTCACAGGACTTCCTAGGAGAACGAGAGCCCACTCCCAAACCTGCTCTTAATTCAGCTCTGCTCAAGGATGTTATGTGGAACCCCTTCATCACCGGACTTGGCCTCCATCACTCTTCACCAAGCTGGCAGGTTTGAAATGAGTGTTGGAAAACAAGCAGCAGTGCAGTCAGTTCAGCTGCAAAATCATGACCTAACTGAAAAATCCAAGGAATTGATATGTTAAAACAGCCAACTACTCCTCAGAGGTCAGGAGCAGCAGGCCCTGTGCTCTGTTTGATACACGCACATGGTTTCCATAGAAGCCAACCAGGGCTGCACGCAAGCATCTGTGAACTCCTCCAAGTTACCCACTTGAGTTTTCTCACTTGTACAGAAACCGCACAGCACAACTTTCCTGAAAATAAATTCACCAAGCTCCACCTTCAAAGGAAGGCTGTCTTTTTGTCAGGCACATGAACCTTGACACCTAACCTTGACGTGGGGTGCAACGGAAGAGGAACAGCAGAAGTCAGTGGAGACAGAAATCCCAGGATGGATTTTCCTGGGATTCTTTCACACAACTGCAGTGAAGACAGAAGTTCTTCCTCTGTGCCATTCCTTACAAACAAGTGGGAGGTTAAATCCCAAATGTGTGTTCAGAGGCAAAACACTGCTCAGCTCAGAAACCTATCATCCATCATCCCTGAGCCTTCCTACTTACTGCATCTACATTGCCTTGAAATCTCACTCTAAAAATGAAGTTCCAATGCATAAAGCAGAACTGCATTTGTCAGGGCAATTCTCACCCACGTACCCCCCGTGGAGTTAGAAAAGAGTATTCGCTACCACCTGGGCTCAGTGCTCTGCGTCATGGAGTGAGGGTGGACTGAAAATCCCCTTTACCTGCACACTTGGCATATACTGTTAGGGAGAAATTGCATGAATCCCCCAGTAATTTACTACGTAGGTAATGACTGGAACTGACCGTACAGGCTTGGCCCCTTATACATACATCCTTCCTTATTTAAAAAAAAAAAAAAAACACTTTGTGCAATGAAGTGACAATCAGCTACAAAAATATGTGCTTAGAAAAAACAGCCTCACTTCCTGAACACCATTACCAGGCCTGTGAAACCAAAAAGAGACACTTTAGTATTAGAAAAGAAACAACAAAAAGACTCTAATAAGGCTTGTTGTTGTAAAGTGCTGGGCATCACACTTGGGAACACTCGATCCTACACTCACGTGTTACCTTGGCTGCTCACCTTTTTCTCATTTTGGTTCTGCTCTCATTTTATTTTGCTCATTGACAAGATATTGTCTTCTCATTTATTCACATGTTTTGGTAGCTTGGCTGCATCTGCTCAATTAATGATATTTAGCAATCTATTTCTTGTAGTTCCTACAATTAAATTACCTGGCATCTTCACCCAGACATTGCTTCTCCCAGCTACTGAGGGAGTCTGAGCCAAATTGCACAAAACTCCTTTAAGACAAACCCTCTCCTGCCATAAAATTAGGGCTCATGACGTGGCAACAGGAGACCTCAGGAGATACCTGCTGGGAAAAAAGGACATCTGGCCATGCTCGAGCAAAACTGGGAAGGAACACTGCTGAAACAACGCAGACTGGCACTACCAAGGCAGCCTTCCCGCTGGACCGCTGGCACAGAGCTGCGCGGCAGGAGAGACCCAACCTGCTCGCTTCTTCCGAAGACTGACATTGCTAATCCAAACCAGAGACTGCAAGGAGCTTAATACGTTGTCATTCACGTTGTTTACCTTCACTGACATGAACCTTTCCAAGGAATCACAGAATATTCTTTGCTGTAAACTTTTTTTCCTGTGACTGCAGGTGAATATTAACCATCTATGTCATTCTGTTCAGCAGTAAAACACCCAGAGATGGGATGGACATTTCTCTTTAAACTTCCTATTGGCTTCATCACAAAATGATAAAAAATACGATAAAATATTTTCAACATGGATACTTTTAACACTTAATAAAATTTCAACTAGTCAGTTAAATCTTGCTTTATATCAGCTTCATTTCAGCTCCCATGAATTAACTAACCTCCAGTCTAACAGTTCCTCACAGAGAAGTTATTTACATAAATCCTGTAGTAAAAACACCTGCTTTATTAGACTACTAGCGAAAAAAACCCACTATGCCCAAACCTTAGTATTCACCGAACTTACCTTTTTTTAATCTTACTGTTTGAGAGATGGGAGCCAAAATATAGACAGGGCTCTTACTTCAACCCTTTGTAATCCCTAGGCCACAGAAGGCAGGCTCTGGTTAGGTTTTAGTAAAAAAGACAGCTTTCTGGTTGCTCAGAACACCTGGACTTCTTCACAGACATTCTGGGCAGGTGTACCAAGGCAGAGCAGGACTGAGCTGGCTCTCCATCCTGCTCCAGCTCCTGCAACGCTGCCTACACCCAGGTGCAGCTCCACGCCAGCTCCCAAACGCTCTCATGGGAACACAGCCAGCGCAGGCCTAGTCACTTCATTCACGGCAACACACCAGATGGTATCCCCAGCTCAGCACGTCCCATGTGCCGAGTGGGTGCTTCTGGGCCACCTAACAACCAGCAGCATGGAAGGAAAGCACACGCTTCAGTAAGCGCATGGATAGTATTCACGTTTCCCCACGGGAAAAGCGACCAGCCTGAGAGCCTGTAAATGTCATTTTTCCTCCAGCAATGAAAGATCCCAAAGGGCCAAGGAACTCCACCCCAAATCCCCACTGAAGGCTTGTTGTATCTCAGCTCCTGACGACTCTCTCTGTACACTGTGATTAAGCACAGGCTACGCAGCAGACAGCCCGAGCAAGCCGTGGCTGGCTTTGAGCCTCAGCTTCTTGGCTAAAACGGCGCCTTGAAGGTCTCACTGCTGTTCCCCTGGCTCGCACAGCTTCACCGTAGGGCAACCAGGGTCCACACACCTACCGACATGGCCACTGTCAGGTTGAGAGCATGCCAGGAAGTCAAGTCTGTAAAACGGTGGGGCAGAGGGGCAAGAAAAGTCACCCACAGGCTTAGGTCATGAAGGGAGGCATGGGGCCTAGGCTGCAAAGTGGGCACAGCTCAGGGTTTTGGCCAAGCTCCTGCAGGAAAAGCAACACACTACAGGGCAGCAAGAACTTGCGCCCTCCCTGAGGGAATGGAGCAGAAGAGCACATCCCAGCAACAGCGAGAACCTCACATCAAGCAGAACCAGTCTGATTTTGCCATCTTAATTAGGTCAACATAAAGCATGCAGCAGCATTGTCCGTCTCTCTCCAGCATCATGGACTCAGACTTGTTACCCTGCCCGGCATCCAAGTCACAGAGGAAGACAAAAAAACCTGCCACTAGCAAACAAAACCAGAGACCAACCAGAAAGCACATCAACACACAAGCTCCCAGCATCCCTTCCAGAAATCAGCAGCTAAGTGCACAGCCATTTTCCTGACCACAAATACAAGCAGGGTCAAAAAAAAAAAAGCTTTACCAGCAGCCACAACCACGTGATACAGCAAAACGCTCCCTGCCTGAGCATCCCACTTTATCCGTAGGCTGCCCTTCAATTACCCTCTTCACTTCTAGACAAATATTTACCTCTAAGAACTTCAAGATGGAGCACACACAAAAAAAGGGAAGAATGCCCTCATTTGAACAATATATTCCACTCAAAGCTCTGCCAAACAACTCAAACTACCCAGAATTTAAAAACTAACAGCCAGATTTCTCGACCACGACCTTAAGACAGCATTTGACTCGCTGCTTGTTTGAGTCTATTTTGACCTTCGACAGACTGACCCACAAGTCAGCACAGCTTCTTGGAAGGCAAATGCCTGCTCTCGTTATAAGAGCTCAACACAAAAGCTAAATGCAACATGACTTAAGCGCGGGGAAAGCAGCAGAGCACCTCAAGACTAAACAGAGGCTGGAAGTAGCTCTTTTCAAGCTCAGCCTTTTACTTTCTGAAGCCTGAAGAGATCGCTCACCCTTGAAAGACCTGTGTCTTTGAGTTTCAAGCTTTTTACTTGGCGCTCCACAGGCACTGCTGATCCAGACCTACCTGCACATTCTCTTCCGTGACCTCGATCTCAGCGGTGTAGATGTAATCAATCAGCTTCCTCAGGGTCTGCCCATCAACGTCTTTTATCTCAATCTTCTTGGCTTTACTTTCAGACATGTCTCCTGAAATTCATTTCAAAAGGACAGTTATAACTTGATTAACAGGACTTTGCTCCCCATACATCTAGCATATTCTGCTGGTATCTGACTAAAAGATTGTCCTGGCACTATCTCTCACCACCAGAAGGCAACCAGCGAGACTCCCAGAAGCCTCCTAATGCCACCTAAAAAGCATCCCAACATTTGAAGGCACTAGTATAAAATAAAATCAATAAATGCAACAAGCTCAACTTCTTGCCAGAAAAGAACTTGCCATTGTTAACCTGCATTCACACACATATCAGGGATTAAAAAAACCAGGATGACCCTCAACCACATCTCAGCACAGGGACAAACTCAAGGAGACTGTGGACAAGTCTTAGGCGGGATTTTTTTTAAATTTACGTATTAAATATTTATTAGAAATATTTTTAATATTTTATATATATATATA